GGCGGGGGCACCTGAAGGGATTATCGGTACCAAAGTCAAAGGTAGCACTATTGCACGTGCGGTGGCAACAACAAGCACCTTGTGTAGGGCCCAAGAGTCACGCGGCCCCCTGGCGGGCGGCGGAGGCGGCGGCGGGTCCGAGGCGGCGGCGGCGGGAAAGCGGCCATCCGAGTGGGACGGCTGGCCTTTGAGCGGGAAGCTTCCCCGGCGATGGCGGCCGTAAAGGGCGCACGCCGCCGCCAGCGACATCAGCAGCAGCGAGCTGAGCAGGAAGAACAGCACGTACACCCCTTTGGTCTCCCCCGAAGGGCCACGGCTGCAACCTGTCGTGCACACATTCCCACAATAGAGGACACGAGGACAAAACTAGTCAATCAAATCCTTTAAAATTAAAAAAGGACCAAGAAACTGAGGCGATGACGGCGGTTGTCACGGTGACCTGCGGGCTCGTGCTGCACACACACGGTTCCCGCGGGGCCCAAATGCGACTCGTCCCGGAAGCCGTCTTTGCAGCGGCACCCGTACGAGCCAAACCGGTCCAGGCAGTCGGCGTTGACGTCACACAGCGCCAACTGCGTCCCGCATTCGTTGACGTCTGCGGGAGGAGAGGAGAAAGCTCGTTTCGCCTCGAGGCCGAGGCGGGACGTCACGAGCGGCGCAGGATGGACACGATCGCGTGACCGCCGTTGGGCGTCGTCGTTAACCTCCGACGGAGACCGAAGCCACGACGCCGCCATGCGGGTTCCCGGCTGGGCCGAGGGCGCTTCCGACCATCTCGTGGAGGTCCCGGTGGACGCCGGAGGACACTTGACTCCCCCCGCGACCCGTGTTCAGCCACATGATGTAGAGTTCGCCCGCACGCAGCCTGGACACAATTCATCAGAATTGAACTGGTTTGGTGAAGCGCGGCCGAAAACGCGGCCTTCCGAGGACCACGGCAAGTAAAACGTACCTTTTAATTCTTTTAAAGGTCAAGCTGAGCGGGGTGTGACGCGAGTCCAGATGTCGGAAGACCTGCAGAACGGGGCGATGTCGTCGGCGCAGGTTTGCCAACACTGTTAGAAACAAAACAAAAAGGTGCCCATACCAGAGCCTTGAGGGCCTTCATCAGCAATCCGTCCAGACGCTCCTGGCGGGGGTCGCGCTCCTGACTGAGCTGCACCTCCACCGACACTTCAAACAGCTGATCTGGACAACGCGATGGACGCGCGTGAAGCGGCCGGCTCGGGATTGGCCCCGACGCAATGAAGACTCACCGCCGGGCTCGTGTCGAACTTGAGAGGCGTTCCAGACATTGACTGCGGGCGGGATGTACGCGCGTTAACAACATGCGTACTTCGAAGAGTGATCCTCCGTTCATCACGAAGTATACGCTCGACCCGACCGATTCCGACGTTTGGCATCTTCACTTTAACGGACGACTGGCTTTGACGTACGAGCCCTCCCTCTTTGAATCCGTTCAACTCGTTTTAGAGAGACCGAGGTACACTTACCTCGGTGAGCCGAAAGTGGCTCGACCAAGTCGAGGGGCGGAAGGGTCCGCCCTGGTTTTTGTTCTTTAGGGGATGACGACGTATCCACCACCTCCATCTCGTTTTGTCCCGCTTCAGCTGGCTGATGTCGGTCTTCCGGCGGCTCGGCATCCCCGCGCTCGGCGGCCGGGGTGTGAAGGGAGCCGCCGGGGAATCGGTTCAGATGGTTGCGCGGCGGTCCGGCGAGGTCGGGCGAATCCGAGAGCATTCCGGGGGCGCCTCTTTCCGCCAGGGAGGTTCCGTGTGGCGAATCCGACGGCTGCGTGATCTCCAACCGAACCTTCGAGTCCTGCGAGGCGGGAGGCCGACGGCACGTCATCAAAACCGACAACGCAAGACGATCCCTTTTGGGGAGTCGCTATTCAAATGACGACGCATTTGCGCAAACAAAAACCAGGTCGAGAATCGCGCCTAGGACCATGTGACAAACTAGCCCAAAACCACGTCGGTCAGAATGTCTAGGATCCGTTCAAAACCACATCTGGGACCGTGTGTTGAACCAGTTCAAATGCAAGTCTTGAGCCAAGTCAAGAACTGTTGAAGGAACCCATCAAAAAACCACGTCTACAACCACAGGACCGGTCAAACACCGGGTCGAGAGTCAAGTCGAGAACCGGAATGAACCAAGGCAAGAGCCATTGAAGACCCTGCCAAGGGTTAGTTTGGAGCCACCTCACCTGAGCACGCACGTCCGGCCCCGCAGACGAGTCACCGGGGTCCTCAAAGTCCTCAAAGACGGAAAAGACGTCTGGCCCCGAGGCACCATCTGGCGACCGGTAGGGCGCGTCCGGTCCGAAGCTACGGTAGCGTGCGTAGAACCCCCGGTATTGCCGAGCGGGACGTCCGCCGATCAGCAGGACCACGCGCAGGGTGTCGGACCCGGACGCGTACGTGGCCTCGCGCCAGCACCCCCGCAGGACCCGCTGACGCGCCGAGGTCCCGGCCGAAGGGTCGGCGGGCTCGTCCACGTAGATTCGGTCCTCCTTCAGGTGGCAGTCCTCGTCGGGGGTCAGGTCCTGGAGGTGCAGGTGGACCCGCTTGCCGGCGGGGGCCCGGATGCTCCAGTTGCACCACAGGGGCGGGTTGGCGCAAACGTAGTCGGGAGAAAAGAAGTCGCCGTCGTCGCCGCCCAGATGCTGGTGGCAGCTTCTCAGGGCGAAGAAAGCCCCGCCCCCTTCAACCGCCGCACCTCAGGAAGTGCAACACAACACGCATAAGGATTCCGATTTTTCTTTTTAGTTCTCACTTGTGTTCTGATAAGGACCCAACATAACATCAATGACGACAACGACAATGTTGGACTGACCGGAGATCGGTTTGGCCTCGTTTTCCCGTAGCTGCAAACAAACAAAAAAAACAAAAAACAAACCACAGTTACGTTGTGTCCAGACACGACAAAAATAGTTCTACTGCGGCCCAACAAACAAAAACACTCAGCCAAAAAAGTCCAGGCAAAACCGCAGACACGCGCAGCCAAAACGAGCGCTAAGACACACACACACACACACACACACGCGTCTATTTTGTCAATCGAGAAGTCTGCGCACAAAGGTTGCGTCAAAAAACAAACCACAGTTACGTTGTGTCCAGACACACAAAAATAGTTCTACTGCGGCCCAACAAACAAAAACACTCAGTTAGAAAAGTCCAGGCAAAACCGCAGACACGCGCAGCCAAAACGAGCGCTAAGACACACACACACACACACACACACACACGCGCGTCCATTTTGTCAATCGAGAAGTCTGTGCACAAAGGTTGCGTCCGAACGAAAACGGGCGCGCGTCCAACCGACGTGCCGGTCTTACTTGCGCCTCGCAGGAGGTCCACAGGCGCCCGAGCACAAAGCTCAGGACCAGCGCGTGGCTCGGAAGCGTCGCCGCTTTGCGAGCCAACATTTTTGGTGGGGAGGTTGCTGGGATTTGTTCTGCTAGTCGTTGTCGTCGTCTTTTGAAATTCACGTGAAAAGGGTTTCAAGAGAGCCGCGACGTGGCCTCTTCTAGTTGTTTGGCGGCCAAGCCAACACCTGCGGCTCATCGGCGAGCTGATTGGCTGCCGTATCACCGACGGCCACCAGGGGGCGGCCCAAAACAACCATCTTTGACGGCTTCCGGCTTGTCTTGGAGGCATACTTTGTCACATGTGCAACACGAATCGCGAATGCAGGACAAGAAGCTCACTTCGCCTCGATGATTATTTCAGATTTTAGACCAAAAAAAAAAAAAATGTCACTCGTACGTCGTCGTCAACACGAGAAGCCCGCTGGTCTCCCTTCGAGAACACCGATCCGAGATAGGACGCTACTATCACGACTTGAGGTCGGAACGTGATTTCGTCGGTGCACTGTTACGACATCATCAGTACGCGACTTCTCGGTGACCAGATGACATCATCGGTCTCCGAATCTTTCACGCACATTTCAAGATATCGGCACGAAGCGACGTCTTCCCAAGGATGACATCGGCCATATTCAAAGGTCTCATCAATAGGACATCGATACTTCACAAGTCTGACATCATCAAGAAGTTGAAATCATTACTCCTCAATGTACGCTAACATCACAGCAGGCGTTTGAGCGTGCACATGAGCTTTGAGGTTTGTTTGAATGTTTTTATTTTTTTTTGGTTATTGCTGTACATCCGCACAGAAAGAAGGTGCTTGTAGCCGACACTTGCTCACGAGTAGCTCAAGCTAGCACAGGCAGCACGTTTGGCTCCCGGTCAACAAGTTCAGAGCGGCTTCCTTCAAAACGCTAAATTGTCCATCGTGATGATCGGAAATGACCGCCGATCGATCGGTCTGTTCGTCTATTTGTGCCCCTCGAGCGGCTGCTTTATTGAAGCGACGCCACCCAACCGGCCCGATTGGCCGAACCCCGAGAGCTGACCCGGCGCACGCTCCACGACTTGGTCTTCATGCTCCTTTGGACGTCAAAGGCAAATCTGATGAGCTGAGTGGCGGCCACATTGGATTTGAATACACGCGGGGGCCATTTTGGAAGCACGCTGGGGGGGGGGGGGGGGGGGGGGGGGGATTTCCGGGCTCGGACTTCCTGCGTCAGCGCAAGGAGCGCGTCAAGTGCGCTGAACGACGGCGTCGATGGCGGCCTGGATGGCAGCCATTTTGTTCAGCACGCGCTGTACGTTGTGCTCATCCATCTCCACACACACAAAGTCCGACTCCTGCGGGACAAAATGGAGAAGAAAAAAAAGTCACGCCTTCACTTTTGGTGCCGCAAATAAAAGTGCGGTCTCAAGGAACTGCATCGACATCAGTTTAGGCGTTTCATCAACGCGACAATCAAAACAAAATTCAAACCAGAGAGTGAAAAGTCCCAAACAAGCGTCATCCCGTTCATCTCCGCAACTCCAAACGTACGAAGTCCGAAGGTCGGAAGCGCCGGCGGCGCTTGCAAAGCGGGCACGACGACGATCCACGAAAGGCTCACCCGCTCGCCGCTGCCCAGCTCCAGCTCCAGCAGGGCCAGGGGCCGGCCGGGGCTCGGCCCCCCGTGTCGGGCTGCCGTCTGCAGGTCCAGCCGCCAGGACAGGCCCCTGAGGGCAGGCTCCCAGCGGCCGTGCGCCAGGAGTCTTTGGCGGACGCGCCCGCGCTGGCTCTTCCAGAAGCGGGCCAGGGCGGCTGCCTGCTCGGGGTCGACGCCGCCCGCCCCCTGCTTGCGGGTCTGGGCGGTGAGGAAGGCCTCCAGCTGGGGGTGGTCCATGTCGGCCGCGGCCATCGACTG